TTTCCCCTTTGTTACAAACTGAGAAACCCTTATTCGAACAGCTTAAAGGTTAAAACGAAGTGGGGCCCACTGTTCGTAACGGACCGTCAAAAAATTTGACGGATGGGGTAAATTGAGACGGTTATTTATAGTTGGGGGGGTACTTTGAGACGTTTTCCACCACAGGTGGTAATCTGAGATAAACGTAAAAGCACAGGGGGCATGTACATAATTAAGCCTATTTATTATACCATGACAGCCAACAACACTTAATTTTGCAGGAAAATTTTATTGTAAAAAAGTCAAAAAATATTTAAAAAAAGAAAGAAAGTAAATTTGGCATATCATATCAATAATAATATGCAATACTCCTAAGAATAAGAAACTTATAACTCAAATGATTAAGAGGATTTGCTTGTAAATTACACAGAAATCTAGCTACCTGTAAATATTGTCCACACATAACATTTAACACACACCAAATTCAAATTACCGCACGTATGCACTCATTCAAGCTCATTCTCAAGCAACAGATCATTCTTTCTCAACTCAGATTTCAGCCCAAACACTTCTTTCTCTGGCAAAATAATATTCACCACTCTTCCTTCACCTCTACCCTCTCCAAAGTCTTTTGGCCCTGGCAGCAATAAAACAGCTCCTTCATCTCCAACACCTTGTATGTTATAATGCACGTAAACCGGCTTATGCCCATTCACTTCCAACCCATAGAAATCAGCATCTTCCCAATTCACAAACGTCAAATTGGCTCCATACACAACAAAATCAGCCACTCCATTATCATTCTCCATAGCTTCTTCTATTTGGGATCTCTCGTTCCCGGCTTGCTTGACTAGCAAGGTTGCCAACTTTTTTGGATCCGCATCTGTAATGCTGAAATCTGCCTTGACTGTGCTTATAATCTGACTGTTGCTGCATTCCCCTCTCGTCCTCTCTTTTGGGTCATTTCTGCAAATTGTCACCAATTTTGGCTCTGACCCTTCTCTAACTTTGGCTACACATTGCCAAATTATGGCAGAAATGAGTTCAAAAACTGGAATTTGATCAATTTGGTTTTGACCCAATATCTTGAATTGCAAGTTGTTTAGCTGGGTGGCAGTGATAGGGATTGAAAGTGTTTCCATTTTACAGTTAATGGGAGTTATCCAATTGTCACCAACTGGGTTCACCTGTTTTATGGAGAGTGGGGGTGGTGGGTTTTCAAGTGTCTGGAACTTTGTGTTTGATGTTGCATAGTTTGGTAGCCTATTGGGTTCAAGAGCAGACATAATTTGCCCCAAGCCGTTGATGAAATCGGAAGCTGCAAAGGCATCTCCCAACACGTGGGCCCAGCTAAGACCCAATGATATTCCTCCACATCTGAAATGAGTAACCTGCAGAGAAAGCATAATACACCAAAACAAAAAAGTCTAAGGAATTAATCTAATCAATATTCTGTTGTCAACTCAATGATGAAACCCTGCTTGCTATCAATAGCAACAAGAATAATTCTATATATCATATCATTTCATGTGCTTCACTCAAAACAAGCATATAAAAAGAGTGAGAGACTTTTTTTACAGCTTCTAACAAATTGCTGCCTCTTTTTTGGGGTTATCAACTTAAGTTTAGGGTTCTTTTTATGTATGTAAAACTTTACCTGGAAGAGAACAAGTGGAGAGAAGAATAGTTCAGGTCCAATGACTTGGTTTGAAGCAAGCAGCTTCTGGTGAGACAAGTCCATCTCTAGCCATTCCTCAATGGTCTTGTCACACTGGGCTTCAAGGAACCTCACCCCACAATCGTTACACTTGAGATAGGGCCGGCCGGATTCGGATCTCCGAAACCGTCCGCATGTCCGGTAGTGTACATTTAGCCAAGTGAATGTAGCTTCTTTCATGCGCACTATGGTTAGCCCTTGGGCTGCTTGGCTACTAAAAAAGAACACTCCTCTAAGATAGTGGAGCTTCATAGCCAAGTCCATGCCACTCGGGTCATGAACCACATCCGACCCGGTAATCCGGCCTGGCCCGACTGATGAAAGCTTAATGCCATAGACCAAGTTTTCTTGGCTAGCCAAGACCATGGCCTGAGATATGAGAAAGAGGAAGTGGGTGTCTTAAAATTATTAGTTTGAGTTGGTTTCCTAAAGTCTGTAGGTGGCAATTTGAGGAAGAG